ATATGATGGGAATAGCCCAGGGCATCAGCCTAAGGCATTGTTGTAAACCAGGAAAGATGATTAAACAGGGATAACTAGTTCCAGTGGGGTTCTTGGGAAATGGCGTTCAACTCTAAATAAATCTAGCAAGATTTACCAAACTTGAAAAAGGACAGGGACAACATACAGTGTGCAGAGTGCAAGAACACAACTATTTATAATATATTTCAATGCCTGTGCTGTACAGTTCTCAATCTTTTCTGCTGCACCCAGTTGCAGTCTGTAACGCCCTCATGCTGCTGCTCAGCTCTGAAGGCATTGTGATCCTAGTCCACCTCCCTTCCCTGAACTGATCCAACCAATCTAAGCCAACACTTTCCTTCCACCAAGCAGCCACTGGGACTGAGGAAGCTGCAGAGTGACAGTTTGTTGCTGACGTCATTCATTCAGTTAATACTAGCATACTTCCAGTGCCTTTTGGAGCAATCCAGTAGTGGACTGTCTTGCAAACTCTGCCTATGTAATGCCACTACATGGAAGGGGGTAATAGGTAAGGAGGAGTGGGCTAGTATTGCCTAAATGAAACAAGTAATGTGGTCAGACTTTGGAAGGCAGAGTCCCACAGCCCAATGCATCAATGTGCAGCAGGACTTGAAAGGTCTCTCTGATCCATGAGTACCTCATGGGCTGCAAAAAAGGTACCATGGGCCATCAGTTGGACAGCCATGATCTATATTCTGCTAATAGTAATTAAAAAAAAAAAACAAGATGAGGTTGCATTTTTAATTGCATATATTTTACCTTTTAAACAAGCTAACCACATATTTTTTCTTTCCCTTTGTGAGAACATTCTGCACTTGAGTTCTGGTCCATTCCAGATAAGTACCTTTCCTGAGAGCATCCTCTGACTGTTGTTCTATTACAGCCCCTTCAAATAACATAACCAGGCTATTTCCTGTGGGAGCTAGCCCCCTCCCCTACTTACACAGCATTTTGACCTGTCCCCAGGGTATGTTCCTCCCTCGGCTGCACCTGACACAGGTTAAATGCCTCTCACACTTTAAGTGAGTAAAATTGCTATGATGTAGCGGCAAATTATTTTTTTCCAAGTTTTTCTGCACTGAAAAATTTAAGTGAGTGGAGTTGGCAAATGACTATTGATTTGGGGAAGTGTGTTTTAAATTTCTCTTGGCAGTTCTATATTACAGTTACAAGCTGGATTAGTCAGAGCGTTTATAAATAACCCTAAAGCAAGCTTGTGATTGAAACAGGTTGCGTCTTATTCTATTCCTTTTGATGCCGGCGTTCTCCAATTTAATTTATGCCTTTGCATATCCTTGTCTATATTCCTCCCCCTGCTACATATAAATCTTAATTTATATGTCTGTTCTGACGGCTGCACAGATATATGAGTGCATTGTATAAGATACACGTCAAGACACCGCGTGTATTTTTCCTGTCATTGCCAGAGGGAACTCTGGCGCACAGCGATGAAAACAGGGTCTATGCTGAAAGGCTACATTACACTCAGCCAAGTAGTGTGGGTGCCTTTGGAAATGGGATACAGCTTTTTTTGGTGAAGTTTGGGAGGCAGAGCTATCATTGAAAACAAATAACCCTTAAAATTAAATTTACCATTTTCGTGACTGGAGGTCATATATTGAGTGATTTTCTCTTGTTTAGCCTGCTGGGCCGAACAAGAGAAAGCGAACCTTGTATGGCCAGCTTTAGGTACCCAGGCTCTATTTAGCAGTGTCCATATGCAACAGTTCATTTTTTCTTTTTTCCTCCCCAGAAATAGAACAGGTTAATACCCGTGTCGTTGTTGGGGTTTATTGTAGCTTTATGTCTCCCATCGGGAAGTTTTCCCAACGCTTTTTGCCCCAAACAAAACAAGAAGTAAGAGGAAATCTCTAGAAAGCCAGGTAATTCCCCTCTACGAGCCAATTCACACCAGCCACAGGGGCTGGTGTGCAATGCCAGTGAATTGCACTGTATACTTTTTTTTGAAGAAGAACTTTATTGAAATGTCACAAGTGACATTTCATTCAGTTCTATGGGCACAGTGTGCTGTTGTTCCGCATTGCTTCCTGCTGCTCTAAAAAGTCACAAAGTGGTTTTGATTGGTCCTCAGCCCTCCAACATGACCCGCTCCACGTACGAAATACACTGCTTCTGAACATATCTCAGTGAACTCTTGCTCGAAATTTGGGCCATGACACAAAGATGGTTTTGTCATTGGTGACACTTTGCAATTGGGAAAATCACTGAAATTCAACTTCCATTAGTTTCTTGTGGAAGTCACTACATCGCTGCTGAGTTTTGCTGGAGAGCCTTGGTTATGTTCAGCTATTTTAGTTCCTTTGTTTTTGTAAATCTGCCCAATTGTCTTTAAACACCTTTTGCCCATTCGAGCAGCAACATCTTTTTAGGTGCTTATTGCATATCAAGTACACGAGTCTCCTATTGCTACCTTCTCTGTAACATAAAGTAAATATAAAATGAACACTAAGAAGCAGGTATTATTGTTAAATATCAGGTACATAGGTTAACAAAAACAAGTCCAGCCAGGCAATCTAATTCCAAAGCTGTTCATCTAAAAGAAGGCAAAACAATACTGTGGGGATCCATTAGATCAATCCATCCTTTTATTTATATTAATTGTAGATGGAGATGTAATTTCTAGTATGTCTACTATGTTAGGCTATGCAATCTATTGGTATGTCTCTTTGTATAATTGACTGATTCTGTTTAAAAGGAAATTAAAATAGGTGTTTTTTTAAGCTTTTAGTAGTTAGTCACATTCAACAGGACCCCTACGTAATACATAAAACAATTTATGGTTTATCCAGCAAATTCTTTGTTCCAATGAGTGTCAGAAAACATACCCTAGCATTTAATTCAACAAAGGTATCACAGACGCCTTAATCCAACCACCGTAGAATACCTGAAGGCTGATTGTGATTGGATAAGAACAGGATAGGTGGTGTGAAGGTTGCGGAAACCACCCTGTTCTAGATGCATAATCCTTTCCTTGGTGTCAGTCATTTGATTTATCTGTTGAGGGATCAACACCTATGCAGACTCCCTGACCCCAAGGATGGGATTCTGTCTGTGATCTCATCGGAGAGATTTCCCATAACGTCCTGTCCCAGAAATCTCTCCAGAGGAGATACAGGCTGCATCACAACACTTACAGGGCTATTCACTAAAGGATGGAGAGTTTGGAGAAGGCAGGAGAAATGAACAATCTAGGCCAAAATAGTTGGTTTGGAAAAATTCTCCAATTCAGCTCACTTTGCAGTTTAGCTATGTTGTACTAGATTGTTCACTTCTCCTGCCTTCTCCAAACTCTTCACCCTTTTGTAAATAGCCCCGTCATTTTTTTAGTAAAAATAATTATTATGATTACGGTCTGTGTCTTCCAGTCCCAGTGACAAGTGCTCCCCTCCTTTCTTGTCCTGATGTGCAAGAAATGGGAAGTAAGTTGAAATTTACTAAACCATGGACAGCAGTAAAAACCTGACAGAAGTATTTGGTCTTCTCAGATTTATCTAAAAATCTACAATGAAATTTGCTAAATATTTTGCAATAACATTGATCTGGAATTGCCAGGCCAGGTTTACACTTGGGCGATCCGTGATCGCACGGCAATCGTGCACGAAACCACGCATGTGGCCGTGCGGTCACAGATTCGCACACCACCGCTGATCGCACTGGCAGTAACATTCTTTTCTAATAGCACACCAGGCAGATTGCACAGTTTCCCTTCGCGATTCCGCCCATGCAGTCGTGCATGATCGCGGCTAAAAAAGCCTGAAAAAAGGTTCATAAAACTTCACTGAAATCAATGTCCGTTCACTGAAATCAATCAGTGTCCAACCGCACACGATCGTGCTGTCCCGGGACATGCATCCCAGGATCGCCCTGGCTCTCATGATTGCTTTAGGACATGCCATCTCTGGTGGGCCTCTTCAACAAGGCAATGCAGAGCATGCAGTGTACTGTACCTAAATAGCAACCATTGCATTGTAGCCTGATTAGTTAAAGGGTGCTTTTTCTTCAATTGTTCTGAGTTACTGCAGTTTGCATATTGTCATAGATCTTTGTTCTACTTTATTGAAAAAGCCTTAAGTGTATATCATTGGCAGACATTTTGGCTTGCACAATCTTGCGTTTTCCTACTAAAGCACTGTATAAATAGATATTTGTTTTACTTGTGCTCTTAAAAGATGGCCTTCCTTTGTTTTGCTTTCTAATGTGAATTTGTTGGAGCTGAAATTACACATACAGCTTCAATGTACTTGTTTACATTAGTTATCATTTAAGAACAGCGGCGTAGTGGTTAGCACTTCTGCCTTGCAGCACTGAGGGTCCCCGGTTCACATCTGCAAGGAGTTTGCATGGGTTTCCTCACACACTCCAAAGACATGCTGGCAGGTTAATTGGCTCCTGACTAAATTGGCCCTAGTATGTGTGCATATGTGATACCCTAGATTGTAAGCTCCTTGGGGACAGGGACTGATGTGAATGTGCACATGTAGAGCACTGCGTAAATTGCCGGTGCTATATAAATACCAGTAATAAATCATTAAGAATAGGGTCAACATTGTGCCACCAAAAGTTGAAATTGTCCAAATTGTCATTGTCCTGTCCTTTTCCATCTATGTACATGTTTACATGAGTATATATAGTGAGTTTGTTACTTCCCTTGTAGGCTCCAGGGTATGTTCCATTACATGTACAGAATGGGTGTTCATACTGTTTACCGCCTTTGTTGTGATGTGTAAAAATGAGAACCCCTCATAGCTAAAATCTTCTTGTACCATGCTTGCCTAGACTTTGATATAAGGGCTGTTCGTTGATTCTCATCAGCAAGCAGAGAAGAGCACACTTGTGCCAGTGTGACAGCACAAGCCTTGGCTTGTTTGAGGGCTTGTAATGGAGTATACTGCTGCTATCTGTGGCAAGCCAAACACACAGTATCAATCAGTGACAAGTGTTGTGTCTGTTCTCCATAGGTCATCCCGTTAGACATTACTGTGGAGCTGCAGAGACAGATTATGTCAGAGCTGGAGATTCTGTACAAGGTGCGTGAGCTTGGTGACTCCGCATTGGGAATTGTCACATACGGCGCACTGTTTTCTGACAGCACCACTCTCCTTTTATTTACAGTGTGATTCTCAGTACATAATCGGGTTTTACGGAGCATTTTTTGCAGAGAATCGGATTTCTATCTGTACAGAGTTTATGGATGGTGAGTTTAAATCGGCTAAGTGTTAACACTTTTAGGATTATTCTGTATGCACCATGAACTGATGTGAATGTGCACCTATGTAAAGTGCTGCGTAAATTGTCAGGGATATATAAATACCTGTAATAAATAAATAAGTGCAGTAATCCACAGCAATCAAGGTGTAAGTTAAGATGATTTCTGATTACTCTGTGTGGTTTAATAGCATATCACAACTAGTTGTAAGCTGAGGTGCAGTATATAATTTAAAAAGTACAGAAAACCAATCTTGCAGCCTTATATTAATACTCGGAAGGAAGGAACCCAAGTTCAGTAGGAGCCAGTGCCTCATTAATTTAATTCAGGTCTATAGAAGCTAAACTCTAACTAATTGTCTCTGGATCAGCATAAATGGATATTTCTTATGGTTCCCTAACAGTTAGTGCATCATAAGACAAAAAAGGCAGACCATCCAAAAAGGGTACTTTAAAATAGTTGCAACTGTGTGGACTAAATCAGCCACTAGTGTCAGATCTGATGCATATGCATGCTCCAAGAGTGAGATTTCCTTGCCATGATTTCTAAATGTTCTTGTCCACCTTGAAGACTTTTTTTGTTCCAACTTTGTGTGTTCCAGCACTTCTTGTTACTTTTTCCATGATATGAAATAAATCTGCAAGGAGAATGGGGCCCCCAAATAGTAGCCACAGCAGCTTTGCAGGAATTTAAGGACAGAGATCTCACCAACAGAGTCCCCAAAAGATATAAGAAACAGCCAAGTAATTTAGCAATTCAGCTTTTACCAAAAGGTTAAATTTCACTTGTGAGTAAGATAGTCTGTGAAAGTAGAGCAGGATCATACACAATAAAAATACACATTTCTTGGGTGTGGTGAATATCCAGGGGACCCAGCTACAACATAAACCCTCTTGCAGTTACCCAGGTGGATAGGCTAATGGTCAAAACTGTGGATCTCCCTGTTACTTCACAAGGGAGGATGCACTACTAAGCAGTTGGTGTCTGATGGGGCTGGCCCATTCCATTACAGACAATATGAATAGGGCGGCTTCTCTGTGCCTATTCCAGTCCTTGCCAATGCGAATCGAAGGGAAGGTGAGGGAGGAAAAAGCTGCTAATTTACCTAAGGTCTTATTCTGCCAAACTTGTCTCTGTGTTGCAGCAGAAATGGTAATCTTCCTTATATCCCCTCAAAATATCTAGCAACGTATCTACATTGACTTTGCAGTTTACAACTAGAATGATCGAACTACAGTTTACAGATCTACTCCCCTCATTTTGATTTTTACTGAGCACAAACTTAAATAGCCTACTTCTTTAAATGCTGCTTTCTAGTGAATGTATGTAGTGGGTGCCAACACCTCACTATACATAACGTGTACAATGCTCACCTATTTGGGGCTAATTGTAGCAATAAACCTAACATAATATATTGTTTCTCTTGCACAACATAGGGGGATCATTGGATGTGTATAGGAAGATTCCAGAGCAGGTATTGGGAAGGATTTCAGTTGCTGTAAGTATCTCTAATTATCTCTATAAAAGGTTTAATATCCGTTACCCTGCAGTATGGGAGGTGTAGACAGGAATATTATAATGAGAATTACAATGATTTAAAGGCGTGAAGTCCTCCATTTTAAATGCTGTTGTCCTGTTTTAAAAAGTGTTATTTTGAAAGAATATAACAAGAATTATATATTGGATTTGTATAAAAGGCATTGTAATTCCTGTAATTATTATTTTGTAATTGTGCCACCTTTGAGCGTAACCAAAGCCAATTGTTTCCCTCTAGATAAAGCAGTAAAGGGTTACAATCCCTGCCAGTTTATTATGGCTGTTTGGTTCCCCACTAGGGGCATTTACTCATCTATTTGTTCTGGTCACCACTATTGGTAAAGGAGCATCCAAAATTTTGAGTGCTCAATAGGATAGGAAAAGAGGGGAAATCTTTCAATGGAAACACTAATGCCTGCGAGAGCTGTGTAAGAGGGCTTTTCCCTCACTTGGGATTCACCATCCTTCCTGTTCTGTCTACAGGACAAAAAGTGAAGGTGAATCTAATCAAATAAAACACAGCTAAAACAAATTGACTTGGGTTTAAACCATTCACTACTCTAAAGTAAAAAATATAAAGTTTTGGCTTTGCATATGATTTTAAGAATTATTATGTTTCTATACATTTTTTAAAGAATCAGTTTTTATTAATCCAAATATGCAATAAACAATATACAAAATGACAACATTGTACAACAATATAAAACGTAGAACCCTGTGGTCACTTCTAAGACTGGTCCGAACCCAAATCATAACCTTACATTATAACTAACTAGAAGACTAACTAATCCCCAACTTAAAGTATCAATAAAAGGCATTAAAGCCAACAGTGCCCACATGCCCCTGCAGTATATAATACTATTGAGGATCTACCTGCCATGGTACACGTATAATATAATTAATTCTATTTGTTTAGTGCACACAAATTCTGCTGCATTTTACAGAATGCAAAAAACGAATATACAGTAAGTCAGAGTTTACCATCAAATATCCCCATCACAAGTATGTAGACACGTGTGCACAAACAGAATGTAAATAACCTGTTGTAACGTAAAGCTGGCCATACATTCCCAGACTTTTGGCCATTTCCTGCTGAATCGGCTGAAATTTGAGCTGTTTGTGACTATGTCAGGACCCCCCCACTCAACAAAAGTCAATTTTAAAAGGAGCCAGGTGGAAATTTGTCGGCCGAACCGATTCAGATCGGTTCATTTAATGTAGTCACTGTTTCAATATTCAGCAGCTGGTTACTGAACCCAATAGCCAGGAGGGGAGATTCCTTTAACCATGCTGTTTAGCGTGGATGGGGAAATCTGAAGGTGAATGGCCAGTTTTATTAGTATGTGAGAAGAAACCCATACAGGGAGAGAACTCATAATCCATGTATATTGTTTCTGTGGTGATAATCGAATCCAGGACCTCAAGGCTGCAAGGCCAAAGTGCCACTGTACGGCCGAGATAATATTTGTGACAAATGCTTTCTCTGTTCACAGGTACTGAAAGGACTTACTTACCTCTGGAGTTTAAAGATTTTACACAGAGGTGAGATACTCTTCTGCATGCACTTCATAAAACTGGAGTTTTTTTTTTGTGATATCAGAAGTAAAGGAACCCATAAACATGGGTCTTGGTAATGACGCCCAGACCCTGAACAATATACATCAGACAGATACAAGCAGGAAGTGTTTGACCTACAGTGATAAAGTACAGTAACTTGGCCACACCAACAAGATGTTTTACTTTGCCATTGTAATTTGCAGCGCGCACTGCTGAATGCTGCATTAAAATGACCCTGTCATGTGAAAAGCATAAGGGCTGTCATTACTGACCTCTTTGAGATTATTTGTTCCCTGGCTGTCCTGCTGACGCTTTTTGAGTCTCTAACCTGGACCAAGCATACAGATAAATAATTCTAACACTACACCATGTTAGTTCTGGGTCTGTAACTCAAACGTTTTGAAGCCAGAAACACTGTTTCGCCCTGAGGAAGGGACCTTGCGTGGCCTTAACCCGTTGGCTATGTGACCTATGTGACATAATGTAAATAAATTCACTTAGATTTTTTTCATGATAGTTTGGAGTGCTGGTAACTCTTCTTCCTTTGTCCAAAATCCAGTGTACCCATCGCACTCCTGACCGAATAATACCCTTAGAGTCGGGTGGGAGCGAAAGTAACTGCAGATGCCTCTGCAATCCAAGATAAGTGTATGTATAAAGTCCCTCGCACGCCAATAGAATTTCAAGTCAAAAACGGTTTATTGACTTGATTGCTATCACATCATATAGCTCTATGATGTGATAGCAATTGTCAATAAACTATTTTTGACTTGAAATTCTATTGGAGTGTGAGTGACTTTATACATACACCTGCTTCCTTTGGGACTCAGAAAACGCATGGCACCATCTGTGGTTGTCACTATAAACACCCGTTGCTGTTTAGGGATTCTCATGTTTATTTTTTTTCTTGGTATTGGTATGACACAAAAAAGTGGAGAGAAAAAAGCCAAATCTGATACATTCTGCGCAAAACTCCAAAAATGGACTGGACAAAATTATTGGCACCCTTAATTAATATTTGGTAACACAGCCCTTGGAAAAAAATAACTGAAATCAATCTCTTCCTGTAACCATCAATGAGTTTCTTACACCTCTCTACAGGAATTTTGGAGCACTCTTCTTTAGCCAACTGCTCCAGGTTTCTCAGATTGGAAGGGTTCCTTTTCTCAACTGCTGTTTTGAGATCTCTCCACAGGTGCTCTATGGGATTCACATCTGGACTCATTGCTGGCCAGTCTAGTACTCTTCAGCGCTTTGTCTGGAACAATTTCTGAGTGCTTTTTGACGTGTGCTTTGGGTCATTGTCCTGCTGGGTTATTGTCCTGCTGTAAGACCCATGGCCTCTGACGGGGACCCAACTTTCTGATACTGGGCCCTACATTACACCCCACAATTCTTTCGTAGTCTTCAGATTTCATAACGCCTTGCACACAGTCAAGACATCCAGTGCCAGGAGCAGCAAAGCAACCCCAAAACATCAGTGAACCTCCACCATGTTTGAATGTAGGGACTGTATTTATTTTTTTCTTTAAAGGCCTAATTTCTTTTTCTGAAAACAGTAGAATGATGGGCTGCACCAAAAAGCTGTCATTTTGTTTCGTCTGTCCACAGCACATTCTCCCAAAAGGATTTTGGCTTTCTCAGGCAAATTTTGGTAAACTCCAAACTGGCTTTTTTATGTTTCTGTGTCAGCAGTGGGGTCCTCCTGTGTCTCTTAACATAGCGTCCCTTTTCATTCAGATGGTGACGTGTAGTGCGAGCTGACACAGTTCTACCTGAATTTGTCTAGAAGTTGATCGAGGGTCCATATCCACCATTTGAACAATCCTTTGTTGCAATCTTTGACCAATTGTTCTCTTTTGTCCATGTTCAGGGAGATTAGCTACAGTTTCATGGGCTGTAAACTGCTTGACAATGTTGCACACAGTGGACACCGGAACATTAAGATCTTTGGAGATGGACTTGTAACCTTGAGATTGTCCATGCTTTTCCACAATTTTTGTTCTCAAATCCTCAGACAATTCTTTGCTGCTCTTTCTCTTCTCCATGCTCCGTGTGGCACCTGGAGACACTCAACAGAAAGGTTGAGTCAATTTTTCACCATTTTAACTGATTGCCGGTGTGGTTTCTATAGTGTCAGCACCTGTTAATTGACACAGGTGAGTTTAATTACAAATTACAGGAGCATCACAAACTTGGAATGCAATTATTTCTTGCAATTTGGAGAAGGTGCCAATAATTCTGTCCAGTCCATTTTTGGAGTTTTGTGTGGAATGTGTCAGATTTGGCTTTTTTTTCTCCACTTTTTTTTGTCAATACAAACAAGAGAAATAAACATGAGAATGCCTAAACTTTTGTAATTGCAACAATTTTCTGCACGAAGTGGCGCATTATCTGACAGAAATGCAGGGGTGCCATTATTTTTGTCCATGACTGTATATGTCAAAATCACAGCTAACAAGCATTAAAAGAGCAAGAAAGGTGACAAGCTTCTTTCTATGACTATGTAATTCAGTAATAAATCCTATTTAGGTAAAGCTTATCTATACCCAAAACTTTAGTTTAGAATAGAATGTGGAAAGGTTTAAACTCCTGTCAGGTTTTGCTGCTCTGTATGGCTCTATTAGAGAGATTTTACTTCACCTCCTGTGCTGGGGACAACTGTTCACTAGGCAGGAAGTGGGGGGAAATCTGCACCAGAGAAACAGGCAGTAATAAAAACCTGACAGAGATTCTAGTGTTCCTCATGTGCATGTGTAGCTCAGAGTACGATTTCCTTTTATGCTGAAACATCATCCCTCTACAGCCAATCAAGATGGCTGAAAATCCCAGACCTGGAAGAAGACTGGGCGACAACCTTTTTACAAGACAGGAAGTGAAGGAATCTTTCTGACAGGAGTAAAACCCTCAGGAGTGTTAATCCCTGTGCACTCTATCCAGCACTAAAGAAAGCTACCCTGAAACATTTCCAAATAAACATATTTTAATAAATAACATTTTTGTCGTACTGGAGGGTACAGAGACATTCTTAGTGTCTGAATTCCCTCTTTTGATAATGTGGTCTGACTTAAACGTCTGATTCTCAAATTTCCCAGGATGGGTATTTTTTTCTGAGAGCTTGTGAGTCTAGGGGGCATTCATTACTTTCCAATACACAATCAGCCTAGTTTTGATGAAATTACATTCCTGCAACCTGTATACATATTTTGCCCTTGACTTTCATTGCATGGAACTGGCAAAGGTGCCAATGCAACAACATCACTTCTCTATGTTTGCATGATAACAGAAGCATGTTCAAATCTGAATATTGGAAGTACTGCTGATGTAATGTATTTGTATTGTGCAAAAGTATTTTGACACTTTTACCCATAATAGTCTGGTACTGACTATTATGGGACTGAAGAATATATTTATATATTTGTATTGAACTGGTTAGAGGACAGAAATCATAGATGTATGGGCGGTGGGCTTTGTAGTCAATAATGACAGCGGTTGTAGGGAAGGTTCTGTCCCTTCTGGAACACTGTCTCTGCCAGGCCTATGCTCTGCTCCTTTACCTGCCTCTGGGTCCTCCTGTCTGTTCACATGCAACAGATCCTTTGACCTATATGCTGGTCTGCAGAGCTTCCATGCAAAACAAAGAGCCTGGGGTGTATGCCCTAGATGGTTGTAAATAGAACATATTCCAATGGGGCAAAGTCTGCCATCTTTGCCCCATTTGCCATCTTTGCCCCAATGTTTGTTTAAATTACCTGGCAGGTGGCATATGGAGTATATTAGCCATTGTTGCTGAGGACGTAAAATATGTAGTTATTAAAACCTAGCAATAGAGAAAACTATTACAGAAAATTATCATCAAAGTAGCACCATGGGTGGTTAAATGGCAGACTGAATGTATTGTTTATAAATGTAAGGTTATTTTCCCAGGCATTTCTAATGGAATCACCCCAATGCCTCAAATCCCAGGAGCCAGGTAGCCAATGCTCTTTAAAATTTATAGCTGGCGCCTAACTTTTGAGGTTTTCTCTAGTTGTTGTCAATGTAGCTGGCTCCTAAAAAAATCCTTCTGGCTCCTGGAACCATAATAATGTGTCCACTCGTGCCTTAAATGTTATACGGTTGGTGAAGGCCTACTTAGGCAAGTACTTGGAAATGCTTGTTAATAGGGAGCTAAGTGGCTCCACTCAATGTCAGGGAGCAGTTGCGACAGCGGATACAATCTTTTGATGTAAGAAGGGAAATAAAGACATGATGCAAGTATAGGATTGTCACATATAAAACACTTACATCTTGAATATCCCCCTTTAACATCACTATTGTAAATAAACAGCCTCTCAATAAATTCCCTCCACCAGGATTCCAGCAGTTAACATTATTCAGCAATACATTAGACTTCTGATGCTTACATCTCTCTGCATATTCTAACTGATCACAACTTCTAATCATACTTACAGATGTTAAACCTTCTAATATGCTGGTGAATACCCGCGGACAAGTGAAACTGTGTGACTTCGGTGTTAGCATACAAGTAAGTATGACTGTTCACTAATGTGATGGGTAACATCCAAACCCTTACATCTCCCCATCCCTCTACAGTTTGATGGTCGCACATTGTTACCAAAACTGCATAGAAATGACTTGGCTGTCAATTATCACTTCAAAAGCAGTTGTATGAATTGCTGGACAGTGCAGGTCTTTCCAGCAACCAAGGGGTTAAATTGGGAAACAGATGATGCAGTAATTGCTAATGGGATTGTGGCCTCATTAATATGCGTTCTGGGGAGTTAGGAGAAGATCGGTTCTGTCCACACAAAAGAATGAGGTGGGGGGGGAAGGCTTCCAGGGAAGACTGTTATCAAAAATAATAATAATTAATAAAAATGAATGTTGAGCAAAACAAAGACTGTGAAGTCTGGGCAAGACCCTCCCCCCCAAATTGTAATTAATTTCCATCTCTATGCTTCCCCAGAGATCACCCGTCAGGTTGACCCCTGACCTTCCTGTCATGTCACTTTGAATAGGCTCCTTCTCTAGATAGAGGCCGCAAGGCTCAGGGGGCCAGTAGCTATTCTATTTGGCCCCACCTGCTGCGCTGCCAGACTCACTCATACAGGCTGTTGTATTGTCACTTTAGCTGTGTCTGTCTTCTCTTGTGAGCAGTATGTGTCAGTCAGGGTCTTCAGAATTTGGTGACACTTCTCTTGGTACCAAGACCATGGATGTCTGGGGAAGGGGGGAGGGTTTGATCATAAAGTGTAAATCTGTGTGACGTCTTGGGTTGTCTGCATAGTGTATGGTTTTGTTGTATATCTGCCATCTCAAATCTTTATTTGTTAGAGGTGCCCTCATTCTTTACACCTTGTGTGTAATCTGGTCTAGGCAAATCCAAGCATTAGAACTCTGTAGCACCTTGCCCATGTAATCTCTGTATGCCCCAATTTTGCATGAACTTTTTTGATTATTTTATGGCTACAGCACAACTTGGCAGTGAGCAGTGATCATAGAAGTCTATGAATGGTGTACCTACCTGACCAGCACAGATCTCATTTGGAGGCACTGCTCCTCATTTGAAACCAAACCCCTCTTTCCTCTTCAGTTGTCCATCTTTTTGGTCTGATGTACAGATATCTACATAAAGATTCTATGTAACTACCAAAAGTGTTATTCCGCACTAAAACCTTCATCTTCTCTTTTAATTATCTTATTTGCCTTTTCAAAATTCAAAAAACAATTATGGGTTTAACCAATCACTTTTAGCATAAAAATTCTTAATTGTCTGCATAACTGAAGGCATAACAGAGGGTTTGCACATTGCCTTAATACACTGTTCTGGAAGGTGTCCCACTTTCTCATCTCAGAAAGTTGGGAGGTAGGCTGTTGAAATACCTTGCAGATGAACAACACTTGCTGCCTAATTGAGCTTTAGACGCTAAATAAAAAGGAAAAAAGTTAAAAGGGATATCGGGATCATCTTACCAAACTGCTGAGACTCGAGCACCATCTTTGACTACATATCATAATAACTACGGGGGCTGATTTTAGAACAACTGGAGATAAAATGGCATTTGTGCCCCTGATGGTCAATTTTTATCTTGCATTTGGTAAATAGACATGATTGGATGCAGTGACAATTGCCCCATCTTTTTTAAAACACTCATTTTATCACCTACTTTATACAAGTGTTTCCTAAATGTTTTAACTGTATTAATACACTTTTCAACATGGATGTTATAATATGGTACCAACTGTCCAGTGGCACAATAATAGCCATAGCAGCCCACGTGGCTGCTATGGGGCCCGGGGCAGGAGAGGGCCCCATTAACGAGGCTGATTTGGAAAACTATACTGCTTCAGTATTGAAGGGCTGAAATCAGACCTCAGGATTGTCTAGTCACAGACCCCCCTTTTTGCAGCAGTGTAGATTTATAGTCCTCTAAACTTCTGCTTCAGACTGACATGAGCCCCCAATGCCTAATGCATTCACAAATCCTTACAGGTGGGCTAAAGTTTGTGGTTCTACAAAAAGTTTAATGAAGATAGAGTTTAAAGAAGTTTGTATTAGGGTTGAATAGTAAGTGTGCGAGAGTGGTAATAATTTTATCATACTATAACTATAACTTTTACCCCAGCACTCCTCCCTGGTAATGCGTGACTTCCTGCTGCCTGTCCTTGATATTTCACGTTAAGATCAATGACACATGTTGACACTGTCAGCCAACTGCCAGTTAGCCAGGGGGCCCTAAAGTTTTGCCATGGGGCACCATGATTTGTAGTTACGCCACTGCAACTGTGTGCTTAATACTTGCTATATCAGTATAGGTATGTTTTCTGGCTGTAACATATTCTTTCCAGAACCTTTGCTAAAAAGCTGATAGTGTATAAATGTTAGGTTGCTGGTTAGTGTGAACTGAAGAAAGCTTTGTCACTGCTAACACTTGCTTTATTTTGAAAGATAAAGCGAGAAGTGTAATCATCTTCTGTTTAATGCCTGCAGATAAAAGCACTCTATATATTTTTTATTCTGTCTTTTATATCGTCACTTTATTCTATTCTCCTTTTGCTTGATCGGTGGATTAAATGAGAAATAATTGCCCGTTTTATGCTGTTGTCAGTTTAACACCCTTGTTTCTTTTTTTTTTCCTAGCTAGTGAATTCAATTGCCAAAACCTACGTGGGTACAAATGCTTATATGGCGGTGAGTTAGAGTTGGTGGGTCGTCTGTCCCTCGTATCACGACTGTTAGTTGCATAATACACAAATGGCTTTGAATGTAAACTTGTCACAGTTCTGGGAAATACAAACTGAGTGTGTGGGGAAAAATTGTGTAACCTCAGTGTTGGGGAACCAAGAAACCAGACGGAAACTTAAGTGCAACTTAAAAATAAAAGGAGTTTATTGACAAAAACATTAAACAAAAATGGCAAAAAACAATGGAGGAAGTCCAGGACGTAGTCAATGTCAAGCCAGAGGTCAGATGCCAAAGCAGGTAGTCAGCTGAACCAGGTCAGGGAACTCTGAGAGTAGAATGAATGGAAACAATAGCCAGAATCAGGAACCGGAAGATCAGTCAGCCAGAGCCATCGTCATACACAGAGGATAGGAACAACAGCAGAGCATTTGTTATATCTGAACACATGCAAGGGCGGAGACTGAATGGACAAGCTGAAGGTTAAATAGTGAACTGGTGTTTGCATCATCACTCTGAGACAGGAATTTGCTAGGAGTTTTGTTAGTAGTTGCAGAATGATGATGTTTACGTGTTTGGTCATAAGAGGGTGTAAAAGAGGAACAATAGTGTCAAACATACTGGAAAACAAGCCATGTTGCAGCCGAGCGGAGGAGGAAGGGCAAGAAACCCTGACATTCAGGTGACCCTTAATGGAAACGAGATGTAGGCTGCCAGATTTAGATCCAAAACTTAGCTTTTCCTGTTAAAGATGTGTTTGAGCTTGTCAACTCCCTAGCCTCTCTGCTGATGTTTATTGTGATGGGTAACGTTGCTGAACTATAGGCATCTCTGGTCAGCCTGGTAACCAATATGAAGGTTCAAGAGAGTGTGGTCAAGCTAATTTTTACAGGAAAAATGTAAATTTCCATATTAATTTTGACCTGTTGCTTTCACTGAAGAGACCCTCTGCTTATAAAGTCTCTTATCATATCCTCAGGTTTGCGTCAAGTTTGCATTAAAAACAACCAGTGAGCATGTTATTTGCCTTTGTTACACCCTATCCTTGATGTGATGTATAAAAATTTGTGTTTTTCCTTAAACCAACAATCAGATTCCTGCAATTGTTTTTGTAGCACTAGTACTCAAGGCTCTGCTTTCTTTACCTTAGTGCATTCTCTTCATTAAGGTAAAAAAAAACACCCCAGTACCTTCCCATGCCCCTCACCCCCCAAACATTGCGTACATATTATTGGTCACTATGTATCCATGCCAATACCATTTTAACGGGAATGCCCAGGCAGTAACAAATACCTGTATCCCTTGAGGGATTAAATGTAACTTATCTCCCACGAATATTTAGTTGGACAGTAATTAAATTGAGGGTCCTTTTGATGGCATGAAGGCAGATCCCAGGTGTGCATTAAACGGATTGGCACTTGAAAGGGGAATCCATCTGCTAATTGGAATGCAGGATTACATCCAGGAGAGAAGACATCTTTATCCCATATTCGTCTAGCTGCTTTCGTAGAAAATATATCCCATTTTAACCCTTTCATTAACATCAACTCACTGCCAAAGAATGCGTGGCGGTAGCTGAGACGTTCTGGGTCTATAGCAGGCAAGAGGGAGCAACACATTAGAGTCCCAAGTTGTGACTCTTATTTACTGTTCTTCCTTCTCACACGCACTGACCTGGATATGCCCACAGAACACACTCAGCTGGCACTAATTTCTGAATTTGTTTTCTTGTTGTGATGCCCCAGGGTTATGTGAAGTGTGAAGCAACCAGGTGCATTAAGAGCACAGTGAGAAGCTTTGTCAAGGGAACTCTCCTACCTTTCTTTTACACGCTCCTGACCTTGGAACAATAAAAATAATTCATAATGCGAAGCATACAGTAACCTCAAGTTTGCACTGTATGGCATCCTTAAGCTGGCCATACACTGGTAGATTTTCGTACGAACGTTCATACAAACAAATCTCATCAGAACTTTCGATAATGCCATCAGAGACTTGACGAATGTCATAAGAATTGTTTGATGATTTTAACATTTAATTTGGGAAATGAATGGAGCTTCTCAAATGAAAACCACATTCGAGAATAATTTTCCACCCTTCAACCTTTTTCATCACTACAGTCAAAAACAATTTGAAATTGAATGAAATTTCCAAAAACAATTTTTTTTGAGTAAAAAGGCTAGTGATTGGCAGCTTAAAGCTGAAGTCCTGACACAAAAACTTTTAATTCAATTATGTTCCACAATAGACTATAAGCATATGAGCACCAAACCCACTTATGACCTTGTAAAAGAAGCGGTGACATCACTGTGCCATATATTGCCTGAGCAGAGCTGTGGAAGGGACCCAGAAGACCCCACCCGCAACAGGCTGCCTGCAGAAAACTACAGGAGGGTGCGGAGACAAGACCAGTCACTCTGCACAAGGAGAGAGAGCATCAATGACCAGTCTTTAGTACAGGAAGCTCCTGCACAGAGGAGAAAGTTTCACATTGGATTACTACACAGATCTGGAAGAAATACACAAAGTTCACCAAGATTCAAGTAAGAATACACCTGACTCTTGTACACTGCATGGCCAAAAAAAAGTCACCAACTGGATTTAGAGTAGTGTCATGATCTGAGGTTGCTTCAATTGCTCAGGTCTAGGTTTAACAACATTATGTCCCCAAAAAAGGAGGTCAGCCGTCTACCTGAATATACTGAATGACCAGGTTTTTCCATCAATGGATTTTTTCTTTCCTGATGGCATATTGGGCATATTCCAAGATGACAATACCAGGATTCATTGGGCTCAGATTGTGAAAGAGTCGTTCAGGGAGCATGAGACATAATTTTCACACAAGGATTGTCCACCACAGAGTCCAGAACTTAACCCCATTGAGAATCTTTGGGATGTCCTGGAGAAGACTTTACACCGTGGTCCCGACTCTCCCATCATCACTACAAGATCTTGGTGAAAAATTAATGGAACTCTGGATGGAAAAAAGTGTTGTGACATTGCATAAGCTTATTGCAACAATGACACAGCGAATGCGTGCCGTAATCAAAGTTTAAGGTGGTCCAGCAAAATATTAAAGTGTGTGACCTTTTTTTTGGGCAGGCGGTGTATTTAGACAGTATTTGCATATCCCAAAGTTCAGCTTTAATTAGTTTACCACAGATATAATCAAGTAGCCTTACTTAGAGCATAGTCATTCAATGTTGTGGACTCCTGGACGCGGCCACAAAAAAAGAGTGCATGCATCTGTAAACAGTCTGTGATTTGGATTAAGGTGAACAGCCATTACAGGCGAGCTCCTCATGACGTGTCCTGTTAAAATTAATATTTCTGAGCAGCTTCTGGTGGTGTGTGATGCTGCATGGCTGTTCTCGATAGTGATTTCCCCACTCAGGGGTGTATTATAGCTGCAATTCATTCAGAATGGGTAGTAGATGGGTGTCTACTTCTGCAGCCTGTGTGCCTAAGCTTACCATACACAGGGCAATCTGACTATTCCGAAAAGAATCAGACTCCTGGGAGGTTTTTTTTTCACCCAGCATGAACATCTGATATTAAATAGTATGCATATCCAAAACTTTTTTCTTTTTAGTTTTGTATAATGTTGGGAAGAGTTAAAAAAACTTGCCAGGGTTTGTTTTGTTTTTTTGCCGTCTGTTTTCCATTGATGGAAGTCCCATTTGCTTTCTGTGCCAAGTCCCCTTTGCTTTCTGTGTTTCTGACGCAACCAAAATTTAGATGAAATCTCCCAAAAGTCAGGAGAATTAGACAGTGTACCCCATTGGAAGATTTCCTCTTACCTCCTTGTTCTGTGGACAACTGGATCTCCTCTCACTTTCTTGGTGACAGTGGTCACCAAGGCAGGTAGGATGGTGAATCTCCTCAATAGGGACCTCAATAGAGACGACAATAAAAACTTGAGAGAGTCTATTACCCCAACCCTGTCCACCCCATAGATAAAACAAAAACGTTTTGCCTAGAGATACACTTTATCTCTAGGCAAAGTTTAGTCAAAAACTAAAAATATATATGTATTTCTATATTGAGATTCAATATGTTCTAGCCCACTCCTAATAACATATCGATGTAGATGTTTGTAAACTTAGTTATTGAAGATGCCCATAGGATGAACGTCCTCAGTGCACTGACACAATTTCACTCAGCCCTGTGAATATGCACTTCCTTGTGTCACAACCCTCACATAACCTGCCTTCTGAACTACTGAACAATGTAACATTACAATTTCTTGCTGGAAGCCATGCATGATGGTTTTTAGTCTTGAGAAATGGAGAGTGCATTACATCAAGCAACAGGGAAAGAGACGCAAAGCACACTGGGAATCAAGGAAGTTGGTGATAGTAATGGGCAGACAGAAGGCAGCACTCACTACATAAAAGGGATTATTATAAGTAAGCTTTGATTGCATTACAAAAACAACTCTAGTATGTATTCCTATTACAATGCTGATGTTAGAACAGGATAGCATATGCTGGGATTTAGCAACTCCTTTACAATCTTATCAGCCAAGATTACGATTACCACCTCTGGCACAGTATTATCACTATAACAGTTTAAGCTTACACAGAATTTATAATGGTTTTTGGTCAATTTGTAATTTATTTATTTTTTAAATGTTTTTGCATTTTTTTATTCAAAATAATAACACGCCTAATGACTTAAATGGAAGTATACATTTCATTAAACGGGCTTCTTAATATTAACTAAATGTACTTATCAGCCCAAGGCATTGCTCTAATTCTGACTGATGCTATTGTTTTATTTTCAGCCTGAGAGAATTGCAGGAGAGCAGTATGGAATTCATTCCGATGTTTGGAGCCTGGGAATCTCATTCATGGAGGTGAGAATAGCTGAATAACTCATACATACACTTCCTGCTTTGTAATGCAATTGCCGTGTTGCACATGGCTGTGTATGTTTCTGCACATGCTTATAGAGTATGGAAGCATGAAAGGCTTTCTCATCATAATCCTGTAGCATATGAGGCAGCGCCGAGTGCTTATAAATGCAACATACATCTTCCCCAGGAAATGGACAGAGCTGCAGTAGAATGTAGAATAATAATTTCATATACCGAGAGGTCCAATCCCTAGAGCTCAGTGACAGTGATGGTAATCATAATAACTCTATTTATATACAGCTCGCTTCCCAGGAGTCAAGTGCTTCATTATCACAATATAAAGGTAACATTTTAAATAAGTAGAAGCCAAGCACAGGAATAAAATACAGTTTAGGAGGAATGATGTGTGGTTATAGAATGTGGCTCTCCACAGCTCTCCATTACCAGAGTTCTTCCTGTATACTTAGAATATGGGTCAGGTTCTGTAGTGTGGTGCAAGCTGTGGATAGATGGATGTCCTTATGTGTGGTGTCTGTGCTCAGTAGGACATCGATGTCTTTGGTTTCCTTTCTTTACAAGCAGGAGGGCTTATATATATTAGCGGTATGTTGGACGTACAAAATAATAAAAACACTTTCTGAGGATAAAGTGGAGCCCATTTGAAAATCTTTTTAGTTTAAGATATCCCAGGGAAAGTCCACGATTTGAGAAAAAAATAATAAATGCACATATGTCAGGTAATTGTTTTACTTTTACATTGGAGCCAGTAAAGCATTGCAGTTGCGAACCGTAGGAGCAGACTCTTTCTCCTGTCCATGTTGCTAAATGTCTGTACCAAGGGGACTATGTTTCATGTTACACCCTGAATGTGGGTGTAACTTGAAACATGGTCTAAAAGGTGAACTTATCCTTTAACTCCTGAATTTAAGTGAAACATATGAATATGTGTGTGGGCATTCACCCCCATGCCATGCAGGATCATCCTTGCATGATACCTGATATTCAGTGTGGAATGGAACTGTATTTAATTTTGTGGGTGACAGTCACCGAATACAGTGAAAGGAGTCCTCCTAAAGTATCCAACATTTGCGTGCACTTAAAGGAGAACTATGAGGTTAGTGATTTTCACTCAACCTCATAGGTCGAGCTGACCTGTGACAATGAAACTGTCATAGGTTGGCTCTGTAGATCGGGAAGTGAGCGAACGCATACCATTGCTCACTCACTTTCCGATCATCTCCCTGCAGAGAGCGGTGACCGTCAGTCACCGCTCCCTGCAGGTATTCCCCCCATCCCCGCTCCCATCCTCCAGTGCTGGCTGGAGGAACAGTCTGACTGTCACTCACGCAGCTGGGTGGCTCTCGACAGCATTGTCGGGATCCATCCCGGCTGTGTCGCTCTCAGTATTTAGTGAGCAATAGCTCGCTATATACTGATCTTTCGGTCACAGGAGGACGTTGGAATATGTCCTCCCATGACCCTTAAGAGAACTATGGGATAAAAAGATTACCCCATAGTTCTCTTTTAAGCTAAATATATACAGTCAGCCCTAAACAACTTTAAATGTGTGGATTTTGTGATCTGTCGATGTGGAGACTGCATCCACATTTGAGGCATGCCATGTGATGCTTTGGATCGTTTGAGTTGTAATAAATAAGGCCACTAACCCTTTGTAGGGTGACCATAAAAGCGGATGGGAAGGGACTGTGTGACTTGATTAATGAACTTCATAGTTGGTTCCTTTTATAATTTGCATAATAAATTGCAATGCTTATAAGGATCCGCAAAAATATGTCAGAGAGAGAAATCTGTAGCAATACCATGTCAAGAATCAGATGCTGAACTCGCTGGGAGATAAATTACTTTGTTATAAGATGGAGCTGGCCTTTAACTAATAAGTCTTTTTAAGGCCCAATTCATACCTGAGAATGGTGCATGTTTTTTTGCTGCTGCGAGTGGAAGGCACTGTACAGTACATTGACAGATCGCATGACTCTCCAGAGGAATTTGTAGGTGGGAATGGAGACTAAATCAATGTTCAGCGGTAGTAAAAATAAAAAAGGAGATCTCACTGCAATATTCACCCTACCCCTGGCAGACTCGCCACTCTGTGATCCAGCACTGATCCTTTTTTTTCATGTTGCAAGATGCTCAGCATCATTTAACTCGCTTCCTGTGAGCTCAGAGCATCAAGGACCCACCTCCTGGGGCACATCATCAAGCCACTCTGGACTCGCAGGAAAATGCTGCAGAGAATGGTGCAGTCATTACGTAGTGTTGTTCTCTGGAGCCTTCAGGATCCATCCACTGGACTGCCTAGCCTGGAGTTCGGCTTTAATCATCTTTTAAGAAGCCATCAAAAATAACAGGTGTGTGGTGTGCCTGAATGGGACAGAGACTTGGCTACATTGTATCTTATTGGCAAAGCAATATTCTCCTGCTGATTTTATGGGTTCCATATACTGTATATATTATTGCGGGTATACAATGTTTCTTTTCAAATAAGTAGAAAAAAATACACAAATAAACTGACCTATTTAAGAATCTCACGAATTTCGCCATATCCTCAGTGTAAGTCTTGTGTTACCATTCAAAAGTTTAAAAAGGGGGTAAAGTCCTAGGGCCCTCGTAACCATCTCGTAAGCTTATTAAAAGCCCGTACGATCTACCCATCTTGGACAGGCAGATCGTACTTGTGATCATCGAAAGCGGGGCGGGCTTCCGATGACCGCAGTGAGGGGCGGGCTTCCAATCACTGCAAACGGGCAGTGTGTGCACACCGGCCCGTTTGGCAGTTGTCGAGAATCGTACAGTGTATGGGCACCATTATACTGTAAATGCTGTGCAAACTGTCGGCACTATATAAATCGTGTATAATAATATTATAACTTTCAAAATTAAAATAAGGCTCCAGCCAAAAAGTTGTTTTGTTTTTTTGTTTTTTTAGTATTTTATAGAGTGTAGGTTAGATCCTAAGTCACATTTTTATTGATATCTGAAGCTCCATTGGAAAGATATCCCCTCACCTTTCTCAGTGAAAACGTTTTCTTTGGCGTTCATTTTCTACATTTAAAGATTAAATCCCAACAATTTTAATACTAGGACTGAGCTACTAAAAATCTCCTCTGTAGCTCCAGCCTATGCAGGTGACTGACCACAATGAGTTAAATCTCTTAGTGGCAAAAGGTTAAAATTGCCAATGTAATGCTAACCTGAGAACAGTAATGAACACATTTTGCTGTTTTCATATCCAGTGTATTCATGGCATAAATCTGAAGGAAATGATTGACTGCACTCCAAAGAAAATAACACTGCTGATAGCTTTATTTATCCAGACAACATGACCAAAGAGTCTGGTCTGGTACCTCCTTTGCTGACGCATTTCACCCACAAAGCTGAGCTTAATCGTAGATCATCCTGTGTGATTAAGCCCAGCCTTGTTGGTGAAACATGTGAGCGGAGGTCCCATTTAGATATCCCACCGTACACCTGACCGTACACCTGATGATTGTTTTGGATATTACAGCCAAATAAATCCCTTATTTGTATTGAGTGCTGTATTGAGTGCTGCCAACAACTTCCTGGATTCCCATCGTGCTTTGCATCTCTTTCCCTGCTGCTTGGTGTGATGCAGTCTCGATTTTCGTGATTTCTGAAGACCTTGTATCCCATCATGCATTGCTTCCTACAAGCAATGGTGATGTTACATTGTGGGAAGTTCAGACGTTGAGTTGTTGTTTATACGGCAGGCAGTGCTGAGTGAAATTGTGTCAGTGCATTGAGGAAGTACATCCTATGGACATCTTCAATAAATAGGTTAACAAACTTCTACATCGATATGGTTATTGGGAGTGGAATAGAACCTATGGAAATTCAATATAGAAATACAGATTTATTTTTAGTTTATAACCACAGATGCCCTTTAAGGAATATTTGTAAAGCAGTTCAGGTCCTTGCCCCTTTTCATGTACCCTACTGTGCTAAATAAGGTCTCTTTCTGACACCTATTCATCAGTGTTATATGTTTTTGCAGGTTTTCTACCCAAAGATTAGTTCATTAATCAACATAGCCCGCAACTTATTGTGTGTTTTATCAGTCAGGATCTTGGATCACTAAGTTTTTAAGTTGTCCATTTAATTACACTGACAGAAAAAGAACACAGTATCACACAACACCATCCCCATGATGCACTAAGCAAAGTGCAATCAGCCACTTAGAGGCCAGGGGACTGGATGACACTTGCTGACCTGCCTAGGTGTTGATTTTTGGTGCAATTTAGGTGCACAATTAGCTGGAAGCACCTCTGGCTGTGAATTAATAGTTGCTTGCAGGATATCCCCCTCCTCCTCTTGTCACCAGTGCTGTGAGCGCGGTGGCTGCCTTGAGGAGGGCTATCCATCACTCACTGACCAGAACTTCCATAATTAGTGTATGTTATGGCCCTGTGCTCCAGCGATTCAGAGGCACAGCCAAACTTTGCTGGAGTAAAACTCGGGGATGATTTATCCAGCAGCTGTGCAGGGACGTAGAGCGGGAGGCTGCCGGACGTCTGAAGTGTAAGCGAAGGTTCACTCAGGCCCGACTGGGACCTTCATGCATCAAACTCAGGCAGCCAATGCACACACAGCTTGTGTAAGAGCCACAAGATAAATAAGGCAATTACAGCAGAAGCGTTCGGTTACTGAGAGAGTGGGGGGGAAAGGCTTGGTCCAGCAAAACAGGCGGAGGAGAGCAAGGACTTTAAATAAAGAACTATGCAATTTGCATGCACGTACCACAACTTATATTACTTATCTGAATTTCAAGGCAAGTTATAGCTATTACAGATCCTTTTGTCAGATGTTTCAGGAATTTCAATGCTGTACCAAATGTGACTTATGACAATAAAAAAATATGCAATAAAATACTTAGAACTGTGTTTATTAAAATCCCCAGACCTCTGTTATCAGTAACTTTACTGGCTGTCAGGATAGACACATGTTGAGAGTCAATGCATGGT